GTTTTCACTCCCCTTTGGTCACATGACTCTGCCTCTCTGCCAGTGCCTGCGCCATCTTTATTTGTCACCGCTGTCAGGTAGTGGCAGCTGGCCGCTGTGACAGTTAATCCCATAATGCTTTGCGAGTAGAGATCTCCTTGCAAAGCATTCCAGGATATATCGGCTTGTCTAGTGACAATAGATGATCACTACTTTTCAAGGTGCAATGTGAGAAATTTCGAGTCCACTACTTTTTTCATCCACTAGATATTCTTACACTCGTCTAAAATGGTGTAACCACTGTATAGTGCCTATATAGGGATTAGGGCAGACATTTGGATACAGCCATGGATTGTTCTTTTTACAAATGAGTCATGTCATGTAGAATGCCATCTAATTAAACTCCTGGGTGTAGTTTTTTCTTTTTAACTTACTGACTTTTGTCTATTAAATGTTTCCCTCTATGCTAATTTATATTTTCTATTTAAAGAAAATGGATGCATCAATAATGTGTGTGTATATCTGATTTTTTTTGCTCCAGTGAGAATGAACTGCCAACGCCCACTGCAATTGAAGAGAAGGTAAAGACTTTCTTTACTGAAATGCATGCTCAGATTTCGCTCGTCGTGTCATTCCTTTTTGCCCACTCACTCATGCACCGATGTGGTTCTGGGATTTTTTTTTTAGCAAAAGCAACAGGAGTTGGAGCGAGTAGCGAAATGGCTGAAGATGGTGAAAAAATGGGACAAGTACAAGAACAGTGAAAAGGTTAACAGCGTCTCACATAAAACGCTAAGATCTCGGTTTGGCAGCTATGCTTCTTTTTCTCTTCTATGGCTTGTATTACTTCCATGCCTTTTTATAATCTATTTTCCATTTCCTTTTAAAGCAAAGGTCATTTTCTTACTCACCCCCATAACTATCCACAATTTCATGGTCAAGACACTCAAAGTAGAATAACTACAAGCAACAAGTCCTTGAGATTTAGTATATATAAATACTCATGAATATGTACCACCACCTTCTGTGATTGATGTGTTAAAAACAGATTTATTTATTTTTTTATTATTTAATTATCTTTGTGTGTGTTTCAGCTGGTGAAGCGGGTGTATAAAGGAATTCCTCTGCAGCTGAGAGGCCAGGCTTGGGCTTTGCTTTTGGACATAGAAAAGATTAAAAAAGACAATCAGGGAAAATATGAGGTATTATTATTATTTTATTATTATGATTTTTTAAATAAAGCACAAGAGATTTTGACAACTGTTAGATGTGATTGTGAACTGCTTTCTCTGGTCCAGAAAATGAAGCAGCAGGCTCGAAACTTCTCAACGGAGATCAAGCAGATAGACCTGGATGTCAACAGAACATTCAGAAACCATATCATGTTTATGGACCGCTTTGGAGTGAAGTGAGTTCTTTATATGTCTTTTAGTTTTATGTTGCACATATTAAACAGTTTGATTTGATACATAAAACTGCACTAAAGTCTATATTTACTGTCATTTTCAACCAGCAGACTTGCCAAACAATTTTTAATTAACTATCTTATTTGTTTTGGCAGCCAAACAAATAGATCAGCAACACTTAATTAGAGTTTTGCAATAACCATTGACCAAAAAACAAAGCAAAACAAGCATTCCCTTTTGTTTTAAAGTAACTTCCTTAGTGTACCGTAGTTGTTTTCTGACATCTGATGTGTTTTTAAACTTGCCCCCAGTGGGATTCCTGCAGGGTGTGACCCCTGGCCTAAACTATAAAGCACACTACACGGTTGCAACAAACCGGAGTGGTGGTTTCCTCCTCTCAGCATTTTATTAGCCTTCCTGTCAGTGCACAAAGCCCCACAGGAAATGGCATTCATGCAGAATGTGCACCGGTGAAAAAGCACACATGTGCAAAAATACCCCTGCAGAAAACAATGATGCATTTCGCACTAATTCAGAAATGTATCCAACACCTTTTTAAAAGCAAGCATCATATTCTGCTGGTTTCTGTTTTGTTAGCTGCGGCCGTAGAAGCCACTTAATTTGTCTCTGAGTGTACAAGAGCGCTTTCTTCTTTCCCTTTGTATTGCACTTCCCCTTGTATTCAAAGCCAGTGTGTCCAAAACAGACCAAACACCGCTTCATCCTGCCTGACTACCCACTCCTTCCCTGCAAGTCAACAGCTGTCCAACAGACACTGAGACACAGAGAGCTATTTAAAGCTCCTTTCCTGTCTCTTCCAATGGACATGTATTTGTCATTGACGCCTTGAGGGCAGATGTCCTCATTACATCTACATTATGTTTTTCTTTATGCCCCCCACTCACAAACACATTCATATTCACAAACAATAGGTGTTTTTGTGCTGCAAGCGGCTTTTTGAGACTCTAGATGTAATCGGACACAGATGCAAACCTCAAAATGCTTCAGTTTCAGCTCATATTTTGCAAAACCCTTGCACCTACATTTTCCCATTTTAGACAAGATCCAAAATCTTAAATTAATTTGATTTGAGGGAAACCCAAAACAAAATACTACATAACTGTAATATGAAAGGAAGTGGATTTTTAATATTTTAATTTTTTTGACTAAAATCTCAGTTTTGGATGCATTTGTATTTGGCCCCTTTATGCTTATAGTATTCCTGGTGCAACAAATTGCCCCATCAGTAAATAAAGCCTAACATGTTTTATTAAATTCTCTGTATAACTGAAACTATATTACATTATGGTGGTTAATTTCCAAACCCAAATTAAACTTAGAAAATATGGCGGAATTTGGGGAATTCATTCCCAAAAACAACCGAGCTTCCATTTTTATAAAAAGATGGACAAGAATATCAGTCTCTAGAAATTATCCCCTCTTCAGGTATTATTTTAAAGTCATCATGTCTGTAAAATACCTACTGATGGTGGCCAAACACACAAGCAGAGCACACCTCCAGAGTTTACAGAACCATAAAATATTTTACTATGTTAACAGATATTTTTTCATACTCTGTTTTGTTTTTCAAATTTCAATGAAAAACAGAGATTTGTAGAATTAAAAAAATACTGTTCAAGGTGTATGAGCATGTTTTCAAGGTGCCGGATGTCTGCATTAACATAACCTATTATTTGAATATATATATATGTGACCTAATAGATCTGCCAATATTAACTTCAAGATCACTAAATAACGTTGTTTTTTTTTAACTGATCTCTTTGGACAATATACCGATGATTTTCATGGCTGTTTCCCAGGAACCACATCCATGTTTTTACAGGTGTCCTTTTTTTGTTCCTTTTCCAGGCAGCAGGCACTGTTTCATGTACTGGCAGCTTACTCTGTCTACAACACGGTAAGTGTTTTCTGAACAATGTAGATGTGCATCATAACCTAAAGTCTGTGTTGCATGACAGAAGCATTTTGAGTGTGCTCGCCTTGCATCTGAAATTAAGACATCAGCGCCGCAGCAACCACTAGTCCATCAATAGTGTTGGTTGGTTCCTGGTCAGATTCAGCAGAGAGCTTGCCAAACGCTATCGACCCATCTGTTCTCACTCTTTAGAGCCTTGAGTGAGATCTTTTATTTATGAGTGTGGCTAAGCCTGATCTGCTCAATCAGAATGTAACAGTTCAGCTGCCAGCAAGCCCACATCCACGTTTTATTCCATTAAACCAAGCTCTTCATCGAATTATCCATGAATAATCTGTTACTGACAAACAAATCTAATTGGTAGCAAACCTAATGGCTGCATTTATGTAAATTTAAATATCCTGCTATTCACACTGAAAAAAATGTCTTATAGAACCACCTCAGTCTGACCAGACTGATTCAGCATCAGTCAATCAGATTTCAAGAATGATAAAAACCTGGATAGATATTTATCTGGTAGATATAACTGTGCACCTGCCATTTGTAGGAGCATATTAAGCTATTAAGTTCTCCTTTCATGTCCATGGCTGCATGACAGAGGGTTTGATGATTGTAAAATGTTAATCCTGTTTACCTCTCCCTCTTTCATCAATAGACTGTAATTCTTAGCTGCTGGTGTGTGAACGTCCACCGCATTAAACTCAGTCCTGCACTGAGTTCATTAGATTCATGGGCTCCTTATGGATCTTTCTTTTCAATCATTGGTCTTTTATTAAATCCTCTACACATTAAAAACATAACTTGTAATGGTTTTCATTTACCCAGGTACAGAAGTGGACAATTCTCCTTAACACTATAAAGATATTTTTTAAAAGGCCTTGAAATAAATGGATAATTTGCAGCTATTGTGTATTTGCAAACCATTTCTCATGTTAATAGTTTTTTTACTAAATTAATGGCGGCTCCTCTCATGATGTTTTTCAAAGAGACTTAACTAAAGTGTTTTTTTTAATTAAATTTTATGTTTAAATGTACAAAGTTTATAGAAATGTTTCACCAGCAATCCAACCCTTTTTTTTCCATATTTAATAGCAATATGACATGACTTAGAGGTCCATTGCTTTTAGCCACTGGTCAGGAGGCAGAATAAAGAGCCATATTTAAGTTCCTACTTCTGAGGTCTTCACATACCTCTCTGAGTGTGTGAACACAAGCAGTCACCCAGGTTAATGCTATTTTTAGCTGATTCGAACAACCATGTTCCATTTAAAGATATAGTTTTCATTGAATCTTTGGCACAGTATCACTTTGTACAGGTTGAGTACCGGTAACTAAAATCCTGCAAGGTAAAAAAAAAAGATCTAATCAGTGCTGGTGGATGCTGTGTGCAGGTACAGATTATACAATAAAAGTCATGCAGGCTTCATAGTCCAGCATGCAGTAGTGTGGAGTGGGTGGTATCAACTATATCTTACTGTGAGCAGGATAATAAATTAACTTGGGCGAAAAAAGACTCCAAAGCTCACTGTTGGAGAGATGCAGAAAAGAATGGCAACTTCAGCTCACTTTATCTTATTTAACCCAATCTTCAACCAGATCTTTGAGAAATGCTACATTTGAGGTACATTGATGTTTGAAATAAATATCTGCTGGAATCTTCTAGGAGGCAGAGAAGGGGGTTGTGTTTCCAACAGGATGATGTATAAAAAAACTTGTAAAACTCCTAAAAATAATCTTTACATATTTTTGTGTTTTGCCTACTTTAATAGATTGACTCAAAGATTTAAATTCTTTAAATTTCTCCGTGGGAAATTATATTACCACAATAAACCACGCATCCTCTTGTGGGATTACAAATGTATCATCATCTGCTAATGCTCATTTTTATCTCATCTTTATATAGATCTGTTTTAATCTCTGATCACAGAATCTTTCCATGATAAAGAGGAAGTACATGTAAATACAGTTTCTCTGTCCTCAACTATAATTTATTTCTATTGCTATTTTTTTCCTCTAAGAGCCACCGGACTGGACATTTTGTATATCTAATTGAATGTTTTCATTTTTCTGGATCTTTAAAATATGCAAAAAATGTTCAACAGGGTTGTTAAAAAAGATTGTACAGATAGCTGCATTTGGGATTGTTGCTTTTACCTGATTATTACCCTACACCAGGGAGTTTTTTTTTATCAGTTCCTCTGTGGAAGAGGTGTTTGCCAGAGGAAATGGGCATGCGTTGCTATTTTTTTTTTCCCTTTTACCCTCTTCTCACACAATGCTGAAAAGAAATTGGGTCAGTGGGAGAGCTAAGAGAGACAGGAAAGGCAAAATAGAGAAGAGGATGTTTGACTTTTTCACATATGTGCTGGTAGAGAAGAATGTGGAGAATGTGCAGTTTGACCTCTCTTTAACCTTAATTATATTTACTTTTTTGCCTTGAAAGGATACATGTTGTGCCTCTATTTCTATCTGAAAAATAATCCCACTTAATATGGAAAAATACCCAGTGTGTGTTTGTGTTTCCATGTTTGCCGTGGGCTTGTTTCATGTAAATCAGTGAATCAGTCAGTTTGGTGGTAATTCAACCAGAAGAATGACATTACTGAAGGTGTATATGTAGCTCTGCAAATGTTTAAAAAAATCTATCAATGCTTTTGGTTCATCTTTAGATTGAGTACTGCTTCAGTCTAAACCATGCCAGATTATTAGATACTTTCTATCCCCTACATTAGGACCTATGTGTGTTTGTCATAAAATTATGAAATTACCGCTCATTTGTCAACTCAAACTCTGCTGTTTTTTCTCCCAGGAGGTAAGCTACTGTCAGGGGATGAGTCAGATCGCTGCGATATTGCTCATGTACCTGAATGAGGAAGATGCCTTCTGGGCTTTATCCCAGCTTCTTACAGACAGCAAGCACTCTATGCATGGTGAGGATGAGGAAAAGCCGACCCATCTAACTTTTTAAAACCAGATTTATCCTTTAAAGTTATCTTTTATGTTGTAGCAGAATTTGCACAGTGGTAAGTCATGTAAAAACTAGATTTTGTTTTGAGGTTACCTTTGTCTGGTTTTAAACGGTAATCAATCTGAAATATTTGTGTTAAAAAAAATGAATATTTTGCAGCAAATATTTCATTTCTCTGTAAATGTCCTGCCATCTCTGATTTTACCATTTATAGTCTGATTTTTTATTTTTTTTTTCCTTCACTGTTGCAGGATTTTTCATTCCTGGATTTCCCAAGCTGCAGCGTTTCCAGACTCATCATGACCTCATCCTCTCGAAAATGCTGCCTAAGCTTAAAAAATACCTGGTGAGTTCCAGTGTGCAATAATGGCCCAATCCTGTTGTTAAGCTGGTTTAAAAACAGAGATTTATAGCAATTTTTTTTAAATATTTTTACCCTCACAGACTCAGTTTCATGTTGAATTGTTTTCCCACAGGACAGGGAGCAGATGACAACAGGGATTTATTCAACCAAATGGTTTCTGCAGTGCTTCATCGACAGAGTATGTCGTTGATGTTTTCTCAAACATGAACTGTCTACATATCTTGTTTCTGTTTTTAACTATTTATTCCTTATTTCTGACTTCTGTTTTCATAACAGACGCCCTTCACCCTCACATTGCGCTTATGGGACATCTACATTTTGGAAGGAGACAAGATCCTTACAGCCATGGCTTATACAATCCTCAAGTTACACAAAAGTGAGTCTTAAGCCCCTGCTAAATGTTGCCTTGTCAGATTGTGCTGGGGAAAAAAATCAGGCAAGATGCTCTTAAGCCCAGACACATCTGTGATACATAGGGTGGATTACATGGCAAGCCTCCTCACGGTTGGTTGCGTCTTCACTGAATGACTTGCATTAGACAAGTGGCCAGTTGCTGCGGAGAGGAATCAAAAGCTGACTTTTTATTGGTTAGAGCTAAGCATTGCCTCAGCATGTTGGTTGATTTCTTCCAGTTAAAGGGACTGTTGAATCATCAACACAACTTCTTACTTGGAGTTTACCCAACAATAGGAATAATGGAATTTTACGTGTTTGGATTTATTTCATTGTTTATCCATCAACGTATTATGTTTATCCAGAGCGGCTGATGAAGCTCCAGCTAGAGGACCTGAGGGAGTTTCTTCAGGAGGAGCTGTCTCATTCGTTCATACTGCCGGACGATGCTGCGATTGAACAGTTACAGGCCGCCATGTCAGAGCTGCGCAGTAAAAAGCTGGATCAACCTCCTCCAGGTGCAACTCGAATTCCTTTCCTCTGTTTTTCTTAATATTCCATTTTAAAGTCACAGAAAAGATCAGAGAATACCTATCACAAACTTAAAACCCTAATTGTCTATAGTGTCAATCAAGTGAAACAATTTAAGGAAATAATTAAATGTTAAACAGTACTTGTCTCCATTAGATGAAAATATCCCTGTTTTTCAGACTCTTTTAGAAAGGTGTTTTCTCTTTAGTTATAGCTGCAAGTTTTTGGCAGCAAATACAGTGGCCTGAAAAAGTATTCACCCTCCCTAGTTATTTTGTGTTTTTGTCTTAAAAACTACAATTAAAATGAGTTAAGAGTTTGCATAATTATATATAAAATATATGCCTACAACAATTTTTATTGTGAAGAAAACAACAAGTATAAAATAGTAAAACGTAAGCATGCATAACTGTTCGCTCCCCCCTAAATTCACTACTTGGTAGAAAGATTTTCAGGGCAATATAAAGCACTTGGCATGTATGGACATTCTGTGCAGGCCACCCTTCTGAAAAACTTGGTAATGTAACCTGAGAGGGTCGGATCCATCACTGAATGAGGCGTGTGACCCAGAGCCGCTGTACCGCAGTCTGAGCTCCTCTCAAACATTAGAGCAAATAAATAGAAAACTTACCTGATCAGTTTAATTTTTGATTCTCTGATTTAGGATTTAATGTAGAGGGGTGAATGTAGATCTATCTTTAAAAGTAACTCCATGACTTCTCAATCTGCTGGTTCAAAGTGTTCTATCAGATTCCAAAACACAGATGGAGACTTTATTTTCCATCAGTGCAGCGTTTCTGGTTGCTTCAAGCTGTGTTAAACCTGGTAGGCACTGGTCTATGGCCTCTAGTGGATAAAAGTTACATTGCTGATTTAAATCATACCTAATATGCGACTTCTATAGGTGAATGATTTCAATTGATTTAATTTAAAATAAAATGCTAAATAAAAATGAATGGCTTATTTTTTTTACTTGTTCTTTTGCAATAATCAAACAATATATCATTTAGTTTCCTCTTTAAAACTGATTTGTTCTGTTCTAGCTCTTAAAATCCTGTTAAAAGTATGGTTAGGTTTTTGGCTGTAAGGAGAGAAAAAAAGGGGGTTTGGGATAGGATCAGTTTTGCAAGGCACTGCATTTTTCTTCAGTTCCATCCATGTGATGCATGTTTTCTCTTTCCTTTTTTAGCCAAGTCAGATGAGCTGCCAAAGAAGCCTCTGGGTCAAGAGAGACCAGTTCTTCTTCACCCATTGCAGTCTAACTCTCCTCCGGAGGTCAAAATAAATCATCAGACAAACAGCAAGCCTATTTCAGAGACTGAGAAACTGGAGGCAACTTCCAATCATCACGCTTCTTCAATGTCTTCATTAGTTGTCCGTGCAGAAGGAACACCTTCTTCCCTAAGGCACTGTAAATCACCACTGGTACCTCCAAAAGAAAACAAGCCATCTATTGAGGTAGGGATGGGTAGAGATATGAAGAAGTTGCCCCCAGAGGTTAACCAGGAGTTAGGAATACAGGAGAACCAAGCGACTGACACAGAGTCTCAGGAGGGATCAGTGGATTGGCCTCCACCCTATGAGCCCTCCCCTTCGGATGCTGTGACTATGCAGACAGAGGTTGACATTTCGGACCTTCCTGACCTACCCCCTCCACCTTTGTTCTACCCTGAGCAGACTGACCAGCAGTTTCTTGGCAGAGAGTCGCCTAGCCTAGGGCCTGAGACTCATCCTGATTCGCACCTTCGCTCTCCATCCCCTTGTCCAGCCTTACCACTGGCTGCTTCAGTCAGGCCATCCCCCAAACCAAGCCCAAAACCATCCCCTCACTTCATGAAGATAAGTACTTCTCCAACAAAGCCTCCATGTCTCCCTGTCCACACACCACCCTCCTCATCGCCTCCCAGAGTCCCACCCACCAAACCAACCAAGTTCCCAGTTTCCCTTTATGTTCCTGGGTCCACAGGGGACAGACGACCCTCCAACACATCTCAGTATGATAATCTCTCAGAAGCTGATGACGACGATCGCTTTGTGGAGAGACTACTTGCCTGCACCCTTGAAGAAGCTCCATGCAAACCCACCCACCCTACTGACAGAACCTACGACCCTACTCTCTACCCTGTCCCCCCACCTCCCCTCTTTATTCCTCCTTCCCCTTCCCCTCTTCCCCCATCGATGTGCGTCCTCCCTAGATTGCCCCAAGAGCCAGAATATAAAGGAGAGTCCAGCTGGGTGGATGACTCCATCATCCCCCCTCCTCCACCAAACTTTGCAGACAGATTCAGTCCCTTTCAGTGTACCTCTGGCATCTCCTCAGACCCAACCAGGTCCTTATCACCTGTTTACTCTAAGAATTTCACCAGAGCCCCCAGAGACCATTCTGCCTTCCCAGCACCTTTGCTATACACAGGGTCTCCCCCGTGTCACATCAGGTCCTCAGGACAGTCGCCAATGGGCATCACAGGAGTACAATGCAGCCCGGACTTCTGTAGTACGCCTCCTGTTGGACAAAAACTGCCAAAATCAGTAACTTTTTGATGTGGCAGCTGTTCATGCCCGATTGGCCTTCAAAGCTACTGTAAAGATAAAAGGGCCAGTAGCTATTTGTCAAGAACTGTTCCACGCATGTGTGACAACCATTGTTCTATGTCCAGCTACTGTACCCACTCCTATCGCAGTTGCACCACTTTTAAGGAAACTGTTGTCCAACTCTTATTTAAATCCGATGTCAAACATTATATTAACCTGACCCCCCCCCCTTTTTTTAAACACACTTGGTTTCCTCTTTGTATAGAAGAGTAGTGATCTCATCACAGCTGCACATATCACCATTGTTCCACCTTATGCTATTGTAATTTTGTTCCAACAAGGTGTCTTAATCTTAACATGGTGTACTTAGTGCGACAACTACAACAAAAGGGCTTTCAGACGACCAGTTATCCTCCGCAAACCAAAACATTCAAATGGAAATAAGTAGTCAGGTGTGAGCAGGCTCACACGTCTTCTCAGTTTGTCAAACTCTGCGAAACTGCGTGTAGGTTAAGTGTAGGTTAACATAACATGTCCACTAAACTAGAGTACATTTATGCAGAACTCATAAAACTACAGGTTCCTTATTGTCGTTAACACCAGCAGCAGCATGAATGGTGCAATAAATGACTAATGTAAATACAGACCTATCTTTGACTTGTTTTTTTCAGGTATTTTTCCCCCTCTGTGGTAGCAGTGGATATTCTTTAAAGGAGCTTTGTTTTTGTTTTTTTATACATTGTTACAAAGCTCTAAAAAAAAAACAAAAAAAAACATTTTCTATTACACCTGGCTTTACAGCAGTACTACACTGTTTATATGTTCATGCATGAATAAGATAGGGGGTTAATGTGATATATTGGCACAGACTGTTTTTCTGTAGATGTTTGACTCTTTGATGGTTGCGCCATCTACTGGCCAGAAAACAAAATACAAATTTAGGCATTTTACCAGTCATTGAAACAGTTTGGTGTAATTCTTACGAAAGCAAGCATTTCATTTATTTATTTAAACAAAAAACATTTTCTTTCAAAATGCAGGTTGAGCCACACAGTTAAAGACCTGTAGGGGCTGAGAAAAAGTCTGTTTTGTTCTGTGTCCTATAAACAGTATTTTGTTTTATTGAAACTTGTCATTTCTGACTGTTGCAGTTGGTGTTTTTTTTTTTTTATCAGAGTTGCAAAGTGCTGTTCAACACTTTGGCCTGTTTGCATTGCCTCACTATGAAGTACTGTTTCTGGCATTCAGTTAAGTATGTTTGGCATGACAGGATATTGGAACGTTGCTGAATGTTGTACATCACTGCTCCTGTAAGGAATTTAGGTTGTTTTTATGGAGACCGAGGCTAAAACCAAAGCTTATCTGCATTTACTTACTTGAGTTTTATAAAGAGATTAACTATAACATGTCTTGTTTTTCTGTTCTTCAAACAATCAACATTATTGTTTCCAAATATTTATTACATACCCACAAAATAATGTAGTCCTACAAAATAAACAAGTATCTTTAGATGAAGCTATGTAAAACTGTTTTTTTTTTTTTTTTTTCTAATGAGGAAACAGGATAACAGCAGACACAAAAGCTGTACTTGAGTCAATCTACTGATTTATAGCCCAAACCACCTCTGGATTATAGTGCACATAGTACATCTTCATGATCAAATACCTTGATTTTGACAAAATTCTGTTCACTTTCCAGAAATAAAGTATTCTAAATAGCAGCTGCTGTAGTGATTTAACAGAATAAGCAGCTTCAGAAGATTGTGCTCATCTTAAAGATGTTTTGCACAAAATCCCATGACTTTAAAAGAAAACAAAACATTACCTTATTGCAGCATGACAAAGTGCAAAGCAGGCATCTGAGGCCTTGAACTTAAAATAAAAAGTGCAACTTATATTTTCTTGCATTAGATTATTGCACAATTTCCATGTGTTGGAAATTATGCCTTTGGTGTCTAGTTTTTCTTTTTAAACTTCATCGAAATCACTGTCCTTCATGTGAAGCAGAGGGCATTCCCTGACTGCTCCTCAGTCATATCCTTAACTGACTCATGAGGGTGGAGAGAGTGTTAACACTTGTCCTGATTTTAGAGTCTTCTTCAGGTCCCAGTGATACTCCAGCCAACCGAGCGGATCCATTCGCTCCCAACATGCACGGCAAGCTGAGGAACACCTCCGCGCCTATGCCGCCCCAGCCCTAGGAAAAGGAAAAAAAATGCACTGATGAGATTGATTTAACTGGATAAACTCTGAAGTGCCAATTAAAACAAGTGTATTTAGATTAAAGTAGACCAGCAATGACTAGCTGTTTTTTTTTTTTCAGCTTCTGCAATTAAGCTATGATAAGTACATGGATAAATATTTGTAGTTTTTAATGCATTGCAGCTAATAAAATCCAAAACTACATTTTCTTGATTGTTGAAATATTTTAAAAATCAAAAAAATAGGAGTTCTAATCCAGAAAAGATGTTGCATAAAAGCGGGTCCATGTCTTCTTGAAGGTTCTTTCCCACAAATTACTGCATCACGTTGTCACATGTACTGCATTCAGTGTTGTGACTCTTAAAGTAGGAACCTCTGCTGTCGCTAGTATATTGTGGAGCTTTAGAAAACTTTTCATCAAACTCCTGAAATGGATGTAACTATGCCTGTTGCTAGTGCACCCTTTATAACACTCCTTTCTTCCTCTCAACTTCCTAGTAATAAGCCTAAAAACAGCCCTATAGGTATCTTACAGTTTGACCTACACTTATTGTGGACTTTAATTGACTTTCTGCTGGACAAATATCCAGCAGAAAGTCAGTAAAAACTGAACTTTTATAACCAGAAAGTGGCTGTAACAAAACATTTCTTTGCTAAAACATTTTTTCCAGGCACAGATAAGCCAAAATAAGCCACTTATAACACTGTATAATGAATGCTCATAAAAGAAATGATCTTATATTTTAATCCACCAATACAGCTGTACTATGAGACTTTATAATAGTGAGAGCAGATCTGTTGTTTCCATAACTTCGAGCTACCTGAGCCAGTGTAGAGATCGAATGAGTCTTGTTCTTGTCTGTCAGGATGCTGTTGGTGATGTCAGCAACAGAAAGACCCACAGACCAGGACCGCTGGCCTTGATTTTTCATCAGCCCAAATCCTCTAAATCGAAGAAACATCAGAACAAACAATTTTATAATTTTTTTCTAGAATCTCCCCTTCTATTAACCAAAAAAAAAACCCAAAAAACAATATACTTGAAATCCTTATTTGTGGTGAAATTACCTGTCTAACAATGGTTTGTGGGAGTTGGATCTGGCGATCTCTGGTGTTCCATTAGAATTCAGCCCAACATTACTCAATACAGGAACTGTGAGATAAAGCAAACACTGTTAAGCTATGGACACAATCTAAAGAACACACAAGATCAACTGGAACAGCAACATTGTTTTCTTAACATGATAATGGGCTCAAAAATAAAACACAGCACATATGACCAAAAGGAAAGAAAGGAAAAAAAAAAAAAAAAAAAGTACTAGAGATCCATTTTCTTTGATACCTTTTTGTCCCGAATGTTTGGACAGAATTGATTAATAATTTCATCTCTTTTTTTCTTTTTTTTACATGAGCAGTAATAAAAACATGAAGAAAGGTTTGCAAGAAGAAGAAGTAATAAAAACCTTTTTAGATTCTACTAAATATTTGTTATTTTGGTCAGAGTTCACTAAGCGTAAAATAAGTGTACCTTAGTCTGAAGGCAACAATACAAATTTGTATTTGTGATGTTTATTTCTTAATAAATTAGAATACCGCTGAAACTTTAATGTTTCAGTGGTAAGTCACATGATTAAAACTGCTAAATAAAGTTTTTTAGGGTGCTTTTATTGAAAATATCTTTAAAATAGCCTTTTAATTTGACTCTACTGCTAAAACATTGTTTGATTAACTGACTGACACCTCATTAGTTCAGCACCGATACATTTATAAGTCTTTAGACTATTTTCTTTAATTTACTACGGGTTGGAACTTCCCGTTCTTTAATGTGGATTTGACATCAAGCGCGCCGATGTTAAATGGGTCTGACCTAGCAAACAAAGTATTAGAGCATCCGGCTCAACTCGGACACCAATGGCAACTATGAGCAAGGTGAAAAAACCCTTGTCAAGTACTGTGAGCTATGAGACATAGCAGTTCTGTGTTTTGGCCACAGGTGGCATCATTACAAAAAACTCCATAATGCCTCTTAAAGGGATCCAAAAATATTTGGTAAGGCGAATGAAAAATCTATTTCAATAATAAAAATGACCTGTTATAGTCATATGATACTTTATTCCCTCCAAAAAAACGGATTTGGCTGGTTAGTCAGACAACACTACGCGCAACTGGTTTGATGGAAAGTAGAAAGTGTGGAATAAAAAGCATGAACTGTTGCAAACAGAGGAGGCCTGCACCACAAAGCAGGATTAGTGGGTTAATGAGACAACTTCAGACTCAACCCTGACTTTCCGGTACCACAAAAACTGGATTCATTCTTAGTGAGGCTAGTCACCAAGGTAACGCACTATGAATGCTCCGGGGCAGGCTAGCTTTCAGGACTTGAGTCCTAGAAAACGCTCCACCCAGCAGCCAATCGGCTTTTCTGGAAACAATGACGTGCCCTTTCAGAAGACCCAATTTAATTCAGAGGGGAAAATAACTCAAACAAACAAAACATCACAATAAAAGGACTTAAAAATCAAATAGCAGTTTTAACAAAAATGTGTACTTGACAAATAGAGTAGGTGTTTAAATAAATGTTTCTTTTGCCTCCTTTTTGGCTGCCTGAATTTAACTTTAATGTCCTCATACACCCCTGGCATTCACTTGTTTTTTGCATGGCCATGAGATATGGCCATACAGATATTATGCAACAGGCAGTTTCATATACACCATCTGGGATGCTGAGCTATTCGCCTGAACACAGTTTATAAAAGAAAGATTTTATGCCATCGCAGGCGAGTCAATAGCTGGATGTCTGTGAAATTCTATATTCATCACATTATAAAAAATCAGGCTGTTAAATATATAAAATGGCAAATATATATTGGCCAACTTGTATGATAACGGGATTAATGCTAAACCACCAGGTTAAAATGATTTCACTCACACTTGTAATAATATGATACACTTGTATCATCAGTTTCCAGCTTTATTGTAGCCCAGAGATTATTGAATTAAAAAGTCTAACTGACCAAAATATATTGTCTTTTTTTTCTCTGCTCCCAAATCCTCTTCACTTCAGAGAAGAACGCAAATAACAGTGATTTGGGTGCAGGCAATGCTTTGCCACACTGTTTGGCATCTCTTTCATGCCCTCGCTGCATTTGATTTTTTATTAAGACTGTATTTTTTCCTCTTCGTATTTCTGTAAGAGGAGTTTTTGTTCTCAGGATAAATGCTGTGCTCTCCCTTCTGCGCTCATGATTGTGAATGGTCTGCTAGCTTAAAGCCGCCCATTTATACGTGCCCATTCACAGATCCATAATTATTCAAACCTAGTTTGAGTTAGTGAGTTGATAACCAGCTTGGTGGTACCGCTGATCATGATTGTCATTGTTGTGGATTGTTTAATCTGGAGAGGCTGAGAGTAATCCCGCTACATTGAGCTTAGTGGTACGGTCCTCTGGATTATGATCTTGGAGGAACTTCACAATGATTTAACCAGGCTGCAGTAAGCAAAGAGCGTACTGCAGCCAGGTGTAGCAGGGTTATGGTTGTATTTTGTGTGTTAAACCATGTCTGAATCACAGGCTACTGTCGCTTTTTGACTCAGTTAATTAAAACAAAAGTTTATTCTACTGAATTTCAGGGATCCAAACCTGCCTAACATAAATCTATCTAATCTACACTCACCGGCCACTTTATTAGGTACCCCATGCTAGTAACGGGTTGGACCCCCTTTTGCCTTCAGAACTGCC